ATATATTTACTCATGATTTGTGTATATCGTATATATACATATATATTATTCATACCTTCGGTATATAGGATGCAAGCAGATTTTGACGTCAAATTTTGGGGTAAAAAAGTGTGTCTTATACACCGAAAAATACGGTACTCCCCTTTCAGCCATGGGGGATGTTATAAAGTAACAGTCAATCCCACTATTCCTTGGTAAAGAGAAGCCCAAGAGCTGGTGGTGGGTGGTGTGAACTAACTACCTTCCCTCTATCACTTCAAAATTAGGGACAGTTAGCCCTTGAGTAGCTTTGTGAGACATCCAACAAACAGACAGTTGAGGGTACCCAGCTAATGAAATATTAAATTCTAATCTTTTATAAGTGATAAAGTAAGTTTAGTTAGTTTTATTCATAACCAGGTTGATTTTTAGTTTTGCTCTGAGTAGGTAGTTTGTTCTGATTGGAGGTTAATTGGCCATCATACAACCTTTCAGAAAGTGTTAAATCAATATAAAGGTTTGTGTGTCCTTCTTTTTCAGGGCCCTTTGGTAATGCTCTGGATTTCAGAGGTGGCTAGTTAAGTTCAAATCTGTGGAATACCACAAAATATTCCCCCACATTTTCTGCTGTAGGTGCATTAAAAGTGTGACAATCAATCCCTTAGCATGGGTGGTAGGGTGCTGCTGATTGGCTGTCTTCCCTCTGGTCAGTAGTTCAAAAATAGGGATAGTATCAGATAATAGTCTTAGTAGCTTCACCATAAGTACATATTCCTTCTTTTTCTGTTTTTTGTTTTCCAACTTAAGCTAACACTTCTTTTATATATATTTTAAATATTTTCTACTACAAGTCCGATTTTGGAAATTCCAAATTACAGATCCTTTTTTATCTCAGTATATCATATGTGTATCTTTTTTATATAAATTAACTAAATTAACCCACATAGCTATATGTAGGTGTGTATACAGTTGTCATTAAGGCTACTTATAATTTACTTTTTTTTAATCAACCGTAATGTTAAATTCAAGACAACATACATCGTTGTGAAATGTATTAATATCAAATTATTCCATTATGGCTGGAATTCAAACTCAGATTTATATATATGTACATAGGCCAGAGTCTGTTTCTGTGTTGTGTGTGAAAAAACAATACGGTGCTGGTTAAAATCTTTAATGGCTCTTTAACTAAAGGGTATGTTTGTTTTTTCTTTCAGCGATATCTTCGATGCCATGTTCCCTGTTGTCCACAGTGCTGGTGAGAAGGTAATACAACAAGGAGATGAAGGAGATAACTTTTATGTCATTGATCAAGGAGAAGTAGAGGTAGGAGTTGCATGCTATATAACAAATGGTTATATGTCTAAAAATACAAAAGTGGTTTTAAAATATGCAAAAGAGAGGGAGAGATAACTTGACTGGAAGTTGGAGCATTTGTTTTTTGGACGTCTTGATTAAAAAAATTGTTTGACTAATGTCTTGCCCAGCTTTTATCGCTCATCTCCCATTTCCCATTCACACACACAAAAAAAAGAAAAGAAAGAATTGTACTCCAAATTTTGGAGCCATGGCTGACTGTCAAATCTCTCTAATCAGTGAGACAAGAATAGCCCAAAAGTTGGTGGTGGATGTTCTTGAATAGCTGTCTTTCCTCTAGTCTATCAGTTCAAAAATTAGGAATGGTCTTTAGTAGCTTTGCAGGAATAAAAAAAAATAAAAAGCACCTTTAGCTATCTATGGCAGATGAGCTCAACTAAGGAAAAGATAATAAAAGATACAGTGACTTTGGCAAATTAGTTTCATAAGTAAAATTATTTTTACAGCCCTTCTACTTTGCTACTGTAAATGATTGCCCACTTTGCGTATCCAGTAATGCTTAACCATAAGTTCCCTGACTCAGCTCGATTAACATAGGTGGTGCATGAGGCACTGTTCAGGTGGAACATATCAAATTACCTATATTAATAAATGAAATAAATTCCTTGAAAAATTAAGAATAATGTTTATCTTCTGTACTTCTAGGTTTTTGTGAATGATCACCTAGTGACAACCATTGGAGAAGGAGGGAGTTTTGGAGAGTTGGCTTTGATTTATGGAACTCCCCGTGCTGCAACAGTTATCGTAAGTTTAAAATACCTTTCTCTAAACTTTGTCAGCTATAAATGATCGGATAATCTTTAGTCTTAAGAAATCTATTTAAATCAGTCATTTTTATAACCTTGAATCTTTTAAATTTCCTGTCTTCTTAGTAACAAGTGTGTTACTAGAGTTCATCCCAAGAACCAACAGGGTATCGTGGAAAAATTAAAAGCTCCATTCATATGATTATTTTTGAGAATTCCGATATTTCCAAAATTATTTTAAGAACTACAAATTGTTACGCTCATGTTGAGAGCATTCCTACTTCTAGTTGTTAGACAAACCTCATTCACTGAAGTATCGTTATACACAGCCTCTGGTACCACCTCGTGTTTCAATAATTCTTGAGGCCCCACATATTTTATCAGTCACCCAGTGGCCCTGTTCCATGTATTGTTAAAACATCTCAATGTACTTATATTGAATATAACAGTCATCGTTAAGTTCCTAATGTTGCCCCTTTCAGCCTGTCCTCCGCATATTGTCACAGTTGTCGTACCATGTTACACCCAAGGTCGCACGTAGCGAATGCTACAGTCACCTTAAGGTCCGTTATGTTATTACAGTCAGTGTATAGTTTTATATGTTGTCACAGCCACAGTGAGGCCACAGATACTGTATAGTTATCCTGAATATATACAGTGTAACTCGTTCATTTAGTAACTCTTCATGCAATCAAAACAACCAAAATAATTAATTCTTCAGTTCCACTGTACACCACTAGGGGTTTTCAGAGAACATTTCTGTAAGGTCTGTAAATTTTAATTCTGGAAACACTTAAATTATTGCCATATAGTAGTAGTCGTAGTATATTTTGCACTTGAAGAACCAGAGTTTTGGAGGTATTCTTGTGATGCCTCATTTAAACAAACCGTTTCTTCGTAAGCCTGTAAAAACTGTGAACTAAATATAATTATACTCGTTACTAACCCTAAATAGCATTCTTACTGATACAAATTATGCTTGGATATAAGTGATGACTATTCAGCAACACTGTAGTGAGTTAATTAAAATGTTAACACTTCATATCCAAAGATACCATAACTAATATACCTGTTCATAACGGAGTGGTTCACTACTGTAAGAACATTTATTCAGACTGCTACATTTGATAAAAACATGATAAAACAACTTTTTAAGCATGAAATAGTTTATTGATAAAATCATAAATCCAATATACATTGTTAAGATTAATACACAAGTTATTTTATGTAGCTTTTATACATATTGCTGTAAGTAAAAAGTCTGTTCGGTCTTTTTTTGAACCAAAACTTGTCGGGCACTGTTAATGCTTTCTTCACCATAGATTTCATGCTTACACGTGTACTTTATCAGGTAAATGAAGCAATGAATTTTCACCTAACTTATACATTTCAGTTCTGTACTTTTTTAAATAAAATTTTTGAAATTGTTTTTATTACATTATTTATTAATACATTAATTATTAATCTTAATTCATATATTTTTTACTTTTTCGGTCATTCAACTCGAAACAAATTTTCGTATAAAATGATAGCATATAACTGATATGAAAAATATATATTGGTTACATTTTACTATAGGCAAAAACGGACGTAAAACTGTGGGCTATTGACAGAGACACATACCGGAGGATACTAATGGTGAGTCCTCCAGTTGGCAGTATATAAGTTTAGTATAGTATTGTCACGCAATTCTTAAATGTGAATTGTGGATATCTGTTGAAGAAACATAATGCAGTTGTATGTGCAAATGGCTGAGATTTTTATAGATTTCAGGCCATTCCATCAAAGAATAAACTCTAGATCTTCACTGAATATCAACTTAGTGGTTAATACTGTTATCTAACAGTTTAGTGGTATGGCTGTTATCTGTTGACTGAGTGTTATGGTTGTTATCTGTTGACTGAGTTTTATGGTTGTTATCTGCCGACTGAGTGTTATGGTTGTTATCTGTTGACTTAATGGTATGGTTGTTATCGGTCGACTTAATGGTAATGATTGTTATCGGTCGACTTAATGGTAATGATTGTTATCTGTCGACTTAACGGTATGGTTGTTATCTGTCGACTTAACGGTAATGATTGTTATCTGTTGACTTAATGGTAATGATTCTTATTTGTGAAATAAGTGGTAATGATTGTTATCTGTTGACTTAACGGTAATGATTGTTATCTGTTGACTTAATGGTAATGATTGTTATCTGTTGACTTAACGGTAATGATTGTTATCTGTCGACTTAACGATAATGATTGTTATCTGTTGACTTAATGGTATGATTGTTATCTGTCGACTGAGTGTTATGATTGTTATCTGTTGACTTAATGGTAATGATTGTTATCTGTTGACTTAATGGTAATGATTGTTATTGGTCGACTTAACGGTAATGATTGTTATTGGTCGACTTAACGGTAATGATTGTTATCTGTTGACTTAAATGTAATGATTGTTATCTGTTGACTTAATGATAATGATTGTTATCTGTTGACTTAACGGTAATGATTGTTATCTGTTGACTTAATGGTAATGATTCTTATTTGTGAAATAAGTGGTAATGATTGTTATCAGCCAACTTAATGGTAATGATTGTTATCTACTGACTCAGTGGTGAAGATTGTTATCAGACACTGTTATATGTTCTGTTTTAGGGAAGCACTATCAGAAAACGCAAACTTTATGAAGAGTTCCTCAGTAAAGTTTCCATATTAGGTAAGTTTCGAAATAAGTATTCTAATTCAAGGTTGTTAAATCAAAATCATAACAATGAGTATAATTTAAACAAATAATGTGACCCAATTAACACTGAACCAAAACTGATGGTTTACTGAGATGTGTACCTAGGTGGTTGTTTAGTTGGGCAACATTTTAATTCACTTGTATGCTCCTTCATTAATGAATTTATTTATGTTTCTAGAATATTTTCTGTGTTAGTTTGAACTTTATTTGATTCTACCAAACTTTTGTAAAAGAAGTCTTAGAGCTGGAGCCTAAAGTCGAACACAAATAACATGTTAGAGAGATCCTACTTGTTCTCGTATATAAAACTCATCAATTCTTTTGTTTGGTGTTTTCATTACTTTAACAAAGTATGTATGACAGTTTCATTTATCCTGTGGTTCCAGAAAGTTTAGATAAATGGGAACGACTCACTGTAGCAGATGCCCTCGAACCAGTTCAGTTTAACGATGGTGACGTTGTAGTAGAACAGGGGCAGAGAGGTGATGATTTCTACATAATAGAGCAGGTGAGTTTCTCTTTGTTGCATTTTTTATGTCTCTCTGTGTTTATAGTAGTCACACATATTATAATTTATGTGTTATATAAAGTTATAGGGCAAAATTTCAATGTTTTTATAGATCTTTAGATGCTTATTGAAGTTAAAAATATTACAAACTATGTTCTATAAAAAAGTTACAGTGACTAATGAAATTTGATATGAAACCTTAGAAGTAATTTAAGATTTTAAAAATGTGTGTGTTTGATAAAACTTGTTGTATGAAATATAATATCCACAGGGACTGAACCCTGAATTGTTGTTGAATTATACATATTGGATAACTACTAACAATTTTATGTTTATAAAGTTCAGTTTAACTTTTTTGTTTTTTACACATGAAAAGGTTCGGCATGGCCGGGTGGTTAGGCCGCTCGACTCGCAATCTGCGGGTCGCAGGTTCGATTCCCCGCCACACCAAACATGCTCGCTCTTTCACCTGTGGGGACGTTATAATGTGATGGTCAGTCCCACTATTCGTTGGTAAAAGAGTAGCCCAGAGT